ACGAATACGACGGTGACAGACTGAGGGGTGGGGAGTCAGCGGTTGTGAAGAGAGACAGGCACTTGATCAAATCACATCACATCACATCCTGAATTTGCGCCAAAAGTGCCGGCCTTGGTGTACTTAAACAATCATTCAGTCTCTTGAGCCGTTACACATGCAAATACTCAAACGCGCTGACCAATCACAACTGGCTAGGGCCCTGTGGCCACGGCCACAATGGAATGCTGTCGAGCGGACGCTCACTGCGTGCAGCATGAGCGACGCACGCGAGGGCGTCATCGTGAGATTGAATCATCGTGGAAATGGGGCCACCCCTAACACTTTTCAATAATTACACCACAAAACTTTAGTATTAGCTTAGTCGCTTTCATAGGGTTTCAGAGGTCGGAAGATCACAGTTAACAATTAAAAAACACCCTCGACGCTGGGGCTAGCTGCAACTACTCAGAAAGATCCGTTGTCTAGTTTCTCAAATATTGGATGGATCATGAAAGTGTTTGCGTAGCAGTGGAGTCATGTGAGTTTATACCCTGCATATTAAAGTGAGGGGGATAGCTAGGGGGTTCAGGTCATAAGGAAGCCTAATTTCCAAAGAAATTAGAAGTCTACATCAAAGGCTTATTATGAATTTCCTTTTTATTGCATAAAAACTGCCTCTGGCAATTTAGTTCTTTAAAAATACTTTGCCCAATCCTTTACCAACGTAACTCAACACTGTTCTCACATTCATGCAGCTTTCTTAATTATATTATTACCTATGTTATTACAAAAACTAAGTACAATTTATATTTATGTTAAAATGTCCTCGTTGTCTTTCCTCAATAGTAGGAACAATACACTGCGCAGTGGCAAAATAAATATTCAACTGCAAATCATACGGCTAACGCGGCGCGGGTTCCCTTTCTAAATTACCCATTAACACTAAACCACACAAAAACAGTTTACCATATGCACAAAAATCGAATGTCCTGTTTTCCGTGGTTATGGACGTGACAAAGGGATTATGTTGTTAAAGAAAAGACTTCCTTCTACATTTTAATAGCATGCTTTTTCTCAGCCTTACTCATGTGATTTATGCGGATCGAAAAATTTATTTTAAAGCCGCTTTAGTTTCAAACAAACAAATATGAAGAGACATCGTCGGCAGTAAATCATTCACACGCGAAATTGCCATGATACAGGGGTGGATTGATATGGCCTAAAATGCGGTGATGTTGTATGTAAAACAACCTCGATTTATAGAGCGTGATACAAAAACTGTTTGTATTACAAGATAAACCCACAAGTAGCGTTTACAGAGTCCCCAATAATCCGAATTGACCTGTTCCCTTTACTTCATCTTATTTCATAAGCTAAAAAAAATTGGGCCTGAGTATCTTGCGTTAAACGAAGCAAATATTCTTATTTAAAACTTGAAAATTTAATCGGCAAACGTATGCCTTAACTCATTACTCACCGAGCCTACACAATCAAAACGGTAATGCAAATATGCACCTAAGAGAGAGTTTGTGAATTTTTTGTGGTTAATACTCATTGTTCTCTCGCTGATCGCATGGTTAGGTCGGCATTTTGAGGTCATTGGAACTTGCAAAGGGAGTAGACTGTGAACAATTTTCATAGATAGACTACGGGGATTGAACACCACTGTCAATCGCAACGAGTGAACAGCTGTAACCAGGGGGTTGGAAGCGACATGCGATCATCACTTGACGTTAGTTTCGGTGACAGTAGTGCAAACGCTCGTATTTGTGTCATCTGACAGCAAGTAAGTGGATTCATCAGCCGTACAGCCAATGTCTCTGTTGTTGCTAGCATCGATTGTCATAGTTCCTTATAGGAGTTGACTGGTGTCCGGAAGTCCACCTGCAAGTCTTCGTTGGGACCGCCCCGTTGCCTACTACCGTCTAGATATGCGAGATTACAACATAAATCAATGCTGTCTCACTTTTACTCCGCTAGTTGGGTATAGGTTCGTGCTTATCTCTCCGCCCGTTGCGTTTCCTAAGAAGAAATTCATATTAACCCGGCTTTCTTTTCGGCAGTTCAGGTAATAAGCATTTTGTTACGCTACCCAACATTTCTGAGGATAAATGCTTCCCAAGAAATGGATTCTACAGCCGCTGAATTTCTTCGCTAATAGTTTCAGAATTGCAGATACGTCGCACTCTAGTTGTCAATCCCTGGTGAAATTTCGTTTTTATGCTTATAGGAAAAACAAACTATGAAGGTTGATGTATTGTCCCGTCCAGATTTTCTTCCGAAATAATACGTCCGGGATAGGTCCGCCGTCTGGCCTGTGTAGAAGGATATCCAGGAATGAGAGTTTAATATCCCATTCAGACCCTGCGTAACACCCAGGCTGTCTTACTTAAGATAATCAACTTATCTAGGATTTGTCGATTATAGGTTGACAACCTAGTTGAAGAGGCTCTCGAATTGGATTTATAACTCTAATGGCTTCGGCATGCGCCCTGCAATGCAAAACATAGGGCTAATAGATACAATCTCTGACAGAGTACTAAAGGATGACATTGGGCGTGCCTATCAGGAGTGTTTAGGATGGCGGTCTTTTCTTTCACGGGTTAAACACTTCGCCGAAGCTTAATCCCCTTGGCCTCGGTTCTGACTGTTTGCTCATTATTTTCAAACGCTAATCGCTAAACAAACAACTTGTCGATACGGATCCCTGAGTCGATCCCAACGAAGACTTTTAGGTCGTCTATCAGGCGCCAGCCAACTTCTATAAGGCCCTTAGACAATCGATGCTAGCAACAACAGAGACAGTGCCTGTAAGGCTAGCGAATCCACTAACGTGCTGTCAGATGACAAAATACCGGCGCTGGCACTTCTGTCACCGAAGCTGACGTCAAGTGTTGGTCGCATGTCGCACCCAACCCCCGTTAACAGCTGTTCATTCGTTGCGCTTGACAGTGATGTTAAATCCCCGTAGAGTACCTATGAGCCTACCCCTTTCGTCAGTTCTATTGACCTCAAAATGCCGACCTCTCCATGCAGGCAGCGTGAAATAAACGCGTATTAACCAGAAAGCATTTGAATGCCCTCTCTTACCCGCATATTTGCATCACCATTGTGATTGTGTAGGCCCGATGATTAAGGATTTAAGGAATATGTTAGCAAAGTTGCTTTTTTCCTAAATGTTACTTGTACATAAAGTAGCATGAGGAATTCCGCTTTTTTATTGTCATGAAAAGGAACTTGGCTTTTGACGGACGGTAAGTTAGGTGGCACGGCTGAGCTCGTGGCCCAGGCAATGCGCGGTTACACAGAGGCCTACGGGATGAAGGAACTGCAAGTCATCGGACTCACACCGTGGGCTCTACTGGCCAACGCTGAATGTCTTCGTTCGGACGACTTTCTGGTACGTACTCCAGCCTCCTTTACTGCGTTTGCCGTCCATATGCGGACAATGTAACTGTTGTCGGAGAGTGCTGTCTGGTTTCAAAAACAGGACTG